GGTTATCTCTGCAGATTCACATCTCCAAACTTTAGGGAAACGCTGAGGGACCAGGATTAAAAGCATCTGTTTCCTACTGTTCAGTTTTATAAGCCTCATTTTAAAATCTAGAAAATCCAGTGTCCAGACAAAGATATTTCTCCATCCCTTAGAAACATAAAAACCTCTCTTTGATTTCAAGAGCCCTTTCAAGGTAGGAACAACTCTGAATATGCATCAGCTGAAGAGTCATTGGAAGCTCCGTGCTGTTCTAACAGTTTCCACTCAGCTGTGGTGGTAACAGATTACAGCAAGTTGTCTTGCATTCAGTTTTCCCACAGGAAATCTTTGTGCTATATTTGAATCAGGAAACATTTTATGAACGCTTTTAATCCACAGTGTGCCAAGAGGTAGGAATGGTGATGTATTCTATGGAGGATGTCTACAGTCTCAGTTAATGTGACTTCCTCTACACACTTGTTTCTTACCCCTAATGTTTTCAGCAACATGCTTTTGCAGTAACATTTCAGTCTTTTGTCAGGCTTGTGCCATTGTGCTCTTAAAATGTTTAATAATCTTAATTTTGTCCCTCTTGAGAGTAAACAGGTACACAGTACTGACTCATAAAATTCAGTCAGGAATAATCACATTTGAATGAATTTCAGGAATTAGAGATGCTCGGAAGCTTTTTATTGAAAATTGCATTCTGTGCATTCATCTATGGATGCAGGTGAACACGGGAGCATACAGAATACTTTATGATATTAATAGATGGAGTCCAGAGCAACGTGGTTTCCCTCAACAATGTCAGAGCCACAGTGAAACTGAAAAAAACACCTCCTTGAGTAACGAGTACTGCCTGCTGGCACTGAAGAATTGCAGAATCATGGAATTGTCGGAGTTGGAAGGGACCTTCTAGAGATCATCCAGTCCAACTCCCCTGCCAAAGCAGGGCTGCCCAGAGCACAGCACTCAGGAGCATCCAGGTGGGGCTTGAAGATCTCCAGAGAAGGGGACTCCACACCCTCCCTGGGCAGCCTCTTCCAGGGCTCTGCCACCCTCACCCCAAGGAAGTTCTTCCTCAGATTGGAGTGGAACTTCCCATGTTCCAACTTGTGCCCGTTGCCCCTCGTCCTGTCACTGGGAACCACTGAAAAGAGTCTGGCTCCATCCTCCTTCAACCCACCCTTCAGATACTTGTCAGCATTCATAAGGTGATGAGGTAAGAAAAAGCTGAGCGGCCTTAGGAATATCTCCTAGAGGTAATATCAAAAGCTGGCACCTTTTCTTGCAATCTATTTTCTAGTGAAAATAGGGTTAAAAGGCAGGATACTGAAAGAGAATGATGACCAGAATTTGTGTAAGAGAAGGAGAAAGGAGAAAACCACGAGGATGAAACTTGGGGTCAGGGTTGAGGACATGCCAGTAGAGATGGGAAACCAAGACAGGATGGAGAAGCACGAGGCCTGCAAGGGTCTACAGGTTTGTTGAGGGGCCTGTGGAAGCAGAGAGCCTCACAGCCAGTGAGGGAGAAAATTTAATGGGCTTTCCTATGTGGCAGGTGCCTGAAGGGAGTGCAGTGTTTAATACATCATTACTCCATCCAAAATGATTCCTGCCAGATATTTATTTTTTTTCACTTTTAACACCGCTCTTTAGTCTTTCCATCCTACTATTTTGGTAAAAATCTGTTTTATATAGACTATAGTTACATATTCATAGATATATTCATGTCTATCAGCCTATACTTTGGCTATACTGTTCATATACATTATAGCCAAATCTGGTATGCTTTTGTTTTGAGAAGAATTCCTTATCATTTTGCATAGGTATAATAATATACTATGTTTAGCAACCCTGTTCACAGCTCAGTGCCACCTGTTTTTAAGATTCCCTGGCTCACACCTAATAACTTGTGCTGCACTAACAGTTCACCGCTGAGAAGAATTTTTTCTTGTTTATTTTTATTACGTATCTTGTTGTAATGAACCCATCCTTTATCAGTTAATGGTGTGCAGATGGATGTCATCATGCTACTTTGCTATTAAAACCATAAATAATAGGGAAAGCAATGATACTATGATAGCAGCTGAGCAACTGCATCTCAGCTTTCTATTATACTTCCCTGCATTTTTTGTGTGTGTGTTTATTTTTATGTCTTAAGGCAAGTTTATTCTTTACTGCAAAATTTCCAGGCTATGTAATTTCTGCGTTCTCATCACAATTTTTTCCAGTTACTTCAGTACTTTCTCAGCCAACACTTCTGTAATGCTTGACCCCATATGTTTTGTGTTCTGAGGCTGTTTAGAAAAGGAAGCCGAGGGACTGCAGATTTCCTAAGCCGGTTCGCTGCCCTTGACTTTATGTTTGTATACATCATGGGTTTAGGCAGATATGGGCTAAAATGCCACCCTAACTGTAGCCACACAGCTTTTTGAGTGCCTTGGAACATGGGCAGAGCAAACTCCTGTCTGGCTGCAGGAGACTGCGTAGGCTTTCCTTGTTTGGAGACCTACATATTAGATCAAACTTCCCACAAAAACAGGGCCTGGAACCAATTTCTCCTGCATTTTTATGTGTTTTAGCTTCCAACCCAGACTTAAATGTGCAGCTCCGTTTCTAAAAAAAAAGGACTGTATAAAATCATGTATTGTGATGTATTATGGCTAAGGTTTTCTTCTTCTCCTCTTCTTTATCAGCTTCTTCCCACACTTAAGGTGTTATCTCCTCCATCTCTTGAAAAGTTGTTCATGACCAGGAGCCCAAAACGTCTGACCCTGCTCTTATGTCCAATGTATATCACCTCAGTAATGGATTAGATATAGTTTGCAGAGCTGACACATTGACATATTAGCATTTAGCCTGCTGTAAAATATCAGTGAGCTCTTTGTAAGGTCTTTTAACGCACTATTAGCACTAGATGTAGCTACAGCTTCTGGCTGTTTTCCAGCCTGTTCCCTTTTATCAATGGAAAGCGGACAGCACAAGAACAAATGAGCATAGATTGCAACAAAAAGAAAGTCAGGTTAGATTTGGGGAAACCCAGCTTTTGTGCTAATGATATTGAACTATTGGAAGAGACAGAGAAGGTTTTGAAGCCTTCATTTTTTGACGTGTTTTACAAATGTGCTATAAATATTGTGGTTCCTGCCTTTGGGTACCAGAGAGAGAAATGGATCTTCTGGATTCCAGCACTGTGATTTTATTGTATTTTTGCAGGAAAACTTCTGTCTTGTGGGGTTTTTTCCCCTTTTAAAGCAGTTACAGTGTTTACAGAAGGAAGGAGACAAGACAGTGTTCATTAGAAACAGTAAAATACTGTGAGTGATGTGTGTGAGTCTGATAATCTGTCCTGTCCATACTGGTAGCCAGACTTTGTTTAAGCAAGTAATTTTCAAGAAATAGATTAGAAAGATGTATGGGGTAAGACTTTCATATTGCTCAGTGTGGGCATTTTAAAACAACGTTTGAAAAGATCAGTGCTGCGTTCTTTGGGATTTTTTTATTAGTATTTGTCAGCTGATCAGAGCTGAGTTTTTCCACTGGGTTTTGACCTGGACATACCTGTGTCATAGCAAAACTCTGCAGCAGTTCTCGCCTCAAGGGGAAGGTCTGAACTCTTCCCAGGTAACCAAGAAAGTATGAGCGTGGCAACATAAGTAAGGCAACTAATAATTGTGAAGGGCAAAATAACGACCCCTTTCTTTGATTTCTCTTATGCTGAAGTTTACTTTCACACCGTCAATGGCAAGTCTGAAGTATGTTATTGAATATATTTGGTATCTGTGGTGCGAGTAAAGCAGAGGAAGAAGGGGAGGATAAGTTCCCTCTTCGTAAAATGGGATGGCAAAGCTGTTTGAATCAGACCCGACAGGTGAGTCTAATAATGACTTACTAATGTCAGTTAAGCACATTGCGTTCTATTTGGAGTCATGGAAAGATCTTAGGGTATTTTGTTATATGTTTGTTGATAATAAATGAACTAATCTTGGTCGTTTAGAATAAAGAGGTAAAGCTGCACTAAGATGTTTCTGCTTGCAAACCTTTAGTGGGTTACTGGAGTGCTACTGCTCTTTCTATAGGGAGAGACTAGAAAACCCTTTGTTAGGCATTATGGGGTTTTTTCTGCCTGCTGGGCTTATTTATTTGGTTGTTAATGATGTTCATGGTGTGGACTGAGGCCCAGCTCTGTCATAACGAAGCAGCTTTTCAGTCAGACTCTGTAGTAACCCATGTTTTCACAGCTATCACAGCAAGGCTTTTTCATCAAGAGGAAAAGGACTTCTGAGATCTTGCCCTAGAGTGGCTTTTCTGTGCTATGCTTGAGTGCAGCAAGCATTTATTAGGTGTGTATATTAAGTTTATATTGCTAACGGTCTCTGCTTTAAGCCTTTCCTAAGTGTTTAAAACAAGATATACCTAGTTCCATTGAGCCACGTGTTTCATTATCCACTTCTCCCATCGTAGCCCCGATGCAAATGGGATGCTTGAGTCTTGAGAAGGCAGGTCAAAGCAGTTGGGTATTATTTTTAACTGAGGGAGGCAGGGAAGAGTTTACTGAGGAAGACTGTAAGATGGCCGTGTTGATTCAAAAACTCAGTTGTCATTGGCCCTGCACTGATCACGTTTTTGCACTAAAAGTAGAGATTAGTCTGGGAACTGCACTCTGGGATTCAGAAGAAGCTTAGAAGAAAGGCTTTTTGCATCTTCTCGTAAACGATTTGCTGCATGACTCAAGGCTGATCGTGTGACCTTCTGGTTAGTTTATCTGCCAGCAAAATGGGTGTAATACTAAATTGTAAGAATAATATTAATAATTTCAATTTGAAGCCCTGACTGTAACAGGAGTTTTCAGAGCGGAAAACTTAAGTATGTTGTATCCATGCCTCAATTTCATTCACTTTTTATTCTTATCTCAACATATACTTTTCAGACCTGGAATTCCATCAGATTTTTAGACCTCAAGCTTTCTGATCATCTATAAATGTACTATTTAAGAGTACAGGGACCACTCTACCCCAGGGTACAGGGTTCAGGGGCAGAATCCCTTAAGTTTTGTTTTCTGATGCTCTACCAGACTCGTTACTTCATTGGTTTCTAGCATTCTTTCAGAGTTTGAAACAGATCTGATAAAAACTGAGTACCTTTCTGGTTTATCCACTGCATGGTACTGCATGGTTCTGGCATCCATCACCTTGACAGCTATTCTTTGCGTAGTATAATTAAGTATCTGTTAGACCTCTAGGCTCATCAGTGGAAACAGTGATATTTGTTTTCTGTGACATGATTATTTCTTTTTCTGTCATGCAGACTAAGTGGAAATTAACTTTTCTTAAATCTCTCCACTTAATTCTCTTCACTGTTTCTTAAATCTCTTCATAATTTGTTTTGGTTTGTTTCTTTCTATTAGATTTGCTAACAGGTTATGCTTACTTCTCAGCTTTCTGAACTGTTTCAAACTCTTTGCTGATCTCAATTTTTTTTTGGTGTGTGATAGTTACTTTCGTCTCTTCCCCTCCCTGCCCTAATTGCTACTTTCACTGTCCTCTTTTCAGTTCTCTTACCTGCATACTTTTCTCAGCTGCTCCACTGCATAGGCACAAGGCCTGTGAACATCAGTTAAACAGAAAAATGTGCTGAATGAACTTTACTGTCTGGCAGGTGAAGGAAACAGACCACACACGGAGTTACTCGTTCATGAACAGAAGTGCTTAATTCTTTGCACTTTTTGTGAGCTACATGATCTTGTTGCTCTGAATTCATGTCATCGGTTAATTATCATTATTTACTCTCTGTGTGCAGTGCTCCTTGTTGGAAAAGCTGTTTCCATCAAAATCAAAAGTCCATTTGAAAACTAGACCCTGAGATACATATTTTTCCAAATGTGCACATTCACCAATAAACATGGGAGGTAGAAAATAAAAATGAAAGAAAAAACTGCCTATTTTTTTTCCTATCATTTTACTAACATTGAAATGCTAAGACTTGTGTTTAACATAAAAGTTATTGACAGATAATTGGAATCAGTGACTAAACCCCCCAAACTTCTAGAGACACTTATTCAAAAATTATTCAGGTTTTCTTAATTTCTTTTTTTTTTTCATCTTTTTTCATTTAGTATTATCATTGGACTAACCTTGATTTAGTCAGTTTTGAAAATGGTTTAATTTTACATGGAGTCTTTTGTCCCTATTACATTGATTTATAAACAACATATTATAGCTTTCCCCTCGCTCTTCTCCTTAAAAACTGTTCTTTCTTCTACAGGTTGCATGTTGTTTTCTTTTCCTTAATCTAAGCAGAGCCTTTCTTCAAGCTCAGAACCACATGGCTTTCATCTTCAGAGTCTTTTATATTCTTCTAGTCAGACTCTTTGTTCAGAGAGTCATCTTGGCTTTTGTTAAAGTGCGTATCATACGAGAAAAATGGAAGTCACCTAGTCCAATTCCCTCACACTATTGTGGCATTATTCCCTAGTTAGTATTTTTCAATACTTTGTCTGTTTTTAAATATCGAAAAGATACAAAGAATTATACAGTAGCTTGATAGCTCCATAGCTTATCTTCTTCACACTTAACCATTTTTTCTCATTAATGCTATTTGCATATTGTACTTCTAAATTTGCAAGAACTGCAAGAATCCCCTTCTTTTCCAATAAGTTTAAAAATATTCCTTCTCAGCCTATAGCCGTAACTTCATGTCTGCCTCTTACTACTTATCTTTTTCAAATATCTGTGGTCTGGTTTTGTCACCAGAGTTAGTCTTTTTTGTGGCCTCTGCCAATTGTGCCACAATTGTTAATCTGCTTTGTCTTTGTTAATTGTGATGGATTTGAACAATTCTCTCCCACTGCAAATTTCGCTATTGTCTCTAGTACTTTTAGCTGTGTGGTACTAAAGCTTAACACTTTTTACTTCGCAGTCCAATCCAATCTCTGTGGAGAAGATTGGATTGCCGTGATCATCAAATTAAATCAACAATTCCCACAATGGGAACAAAAAAATTGTACGTGTGCTGCATTTTGAGATCCTCAACAATTTGCAAGAGAATGTGGAAGTGCAGAGTAAGATAATGATCCATTTCTGTGGGGGACCAAGGCCACAGGAGGAAGAAGCAGCTTCGGTAGGTCGTCCCTGCATGTGTGGTTTCCTCTCTCTTTGCCTCCAGAATTTATGAACCCGGCAAGGACTCGCCTTGAAAAATCCTTTGCCAGCAGCTGCCCTGGGGTCTGCCTGCAGAGCAGCCTGTTACGGTGTGAGGGGTGGTTTCTCTCTGGGGATTTGTGCACCCTTCTGTTGGATAAAGTCCCCCCCCTTGTAAAAGTTGAGATTTCTAAATCCAATCTAGGGGATAACACAGTTTGAAAAAAAAGAGAAGAGATTTTTCTGATTTTTCTTTTGTAAACTTCAGAGACCTTCAGGGCAGCTGGGACACGTAAACCACGAGTCCCCTTCCATTTCCAAGTTCTGCTGAACTAGATGAAGACACTGAATTTTGTGGTAGTTGTTGCCTCAAAGAACAGGCTTTGAAACCCATGCCTCTGTCAGAAGAGCACAAGAGAGAGGGTGGTTTAAATCAGAGTGCTTTGATGTTTCTGCAGACACTGGGAATGTTCCCTCCTTCTCCCGGAGGCACATTAGAAAGTTAGAATTTGGGACAAGGTAAGGGACTCTTGGATGGAGAGAGCTGGGTATGTTAAAAAGTCTTTAGATAGATGGATCCGATACCACTGGAGAGTCTGGGGAACCTTTCTGGAGTTCGAGGGAAGATATCAAATGTGGGACCAGAGCAGGAGAGCAGGTTCAGAGGTCAGAGCAGGAAAGCAGAGCTGGGAGATGCAAGTGCTACAGGACAAGAGTTGTAGACATGTTGAAGGGACAGGGAATAAATAAGCTTACGTCAGGTCAACTTGCAGTTCTGGGTTTTTCTTCACCAACCCTCTGTACTCAGGTTAATTCTCAAAGAGTACCTGATGGACTCTACCTGCACTGGACCGGGGATGAAGGGAAAAAGAAGCCTCAGAAGCTCACAATGCATTTGGATATTTAAAAATCAGGGGTGTTGTCTCTGGCATGGCTAATGGCTGACTGTGTGCTAGAGAGCTGTAAGTCAGCCCTTTTCTTCCATTTTCATCCTGTTTACAGGTGGGAGTTTTTAACAGCTGTCTGCTTTGATATCTCCATGCTGCCACATTTCTCTCTGTGATTTCATCATAGACATGAACGTATACAACTTTAAAAAACTGAAAAGGTGGGATTTCATAAAACTCTTGATTTCTTTGCTAGGTAAGTGGTTAGCCTTCCCAGCCTTTAAATGCCCTCTGCACAGTCCTTGAATTTTGATGAATTGATGACTTGAACCCAGATGTTTTGGCTTTTCACTTCTAAAGCAATTGATGTTCATTAGCAAACAGGGATGCTGAAATACTTCTTTCTCTGTGGGACAACCTCTATTTGGAAATGTAATTTGTTGCAGCGGGACATTAATTCTGCCCCTTTTTCCTCAACCTTTCTTACTTGTTCAGCAGTACAATAACACTTAGAAAAGAAAAATACATTAGAACAGAACGTCATAGAATGGAACAGAATTTTCCCCTGGGGGAATTTTTGCCCCCGAGGTAGCCTAGCCAACCTCCTGGGGGTTTTTTTTTGCTTTCCTCTGCAGCACTGAGCAGGGCCCTTGGAGCACTACCATGTGGAACGTAAGACAGCAGAGCAGAGGAACATGCTGCTCAGCCATATCTTTTGAAGCTGATTATATTAAACTAGAGCTTACCTCAACGCTCTTTACGTTCAGAAATACTCCTTTAATGTAACAATTTAAATGAGATACATATATGTGTAAGAGAAATTTTTCATTTTTTTTTTTTTTTATCGGAGCACTACCATGTGGAACGTAAGACAGCAGAGCAGAGGAACATGCTGCTCAGCCATATCTTTTGAAGCTGATTATATTAAACTAGAGCTTACCTCAACGCTCTTTACGTTCAGAAATACTCCTTTAATGTAACAATTTAAATGAGATACATATATGTGTAAGAGAAATTTTTCATTTTTTTTTTTTTTTATGTCTTGAGAATTCAATAACCTTTCCAGATTTTTTAAGTGTTAGGTTTTTTCTTTGTCTGTGTATTGTAATTGCTGTCATGCTGGTTTCAGTCAAGCCTGAGATTCACTCCATCAGAGCTGCTGGTGTAAAAGCGTGTACTTGCCCCTAACCCTTTTCTGTGAAAATGATCCAGGTTAACCTCCCGTTCTCCCACCTCCATAGGATTAAACTATTTATGCTAAGTGCATTTTGATAAAACAGGGCAAAGGAGAGGCTGTATGTTTAGCTGGTCTGATAGATCTGGAAGAAAATATAAACCAGTCTTATCTCTTGCCTTCCCAGAGCTAATGGCACCACACACGCTCTAAGGAAAAGTCCCTCGATCGGTGTTTATTTCCAGCAAACATGGAAATGATCAGGAAACCCTCCAAAGGAAAAAATGCCCCATTCCTTTCACTCTCCTTTGTCTGGGCTAGAAAAATGACCTACCTGGCAGCATCCCTACTCCATCCTGCCATTTTGGAGGCATCTCTGAAGATGTGCAGAGGAGCATGGGGTGGCTTCTCTGCTCTGCTGAGGGCAGAACCTCTTTTGAGCAATTTGGTGGGGGCCTAGCCGCTTTTCTAATTGCAGAGGGGGGGGCAGCTTAACCTGCCACCTTTTGGGGCACATCTGCTGCGTGGCCCCCCCTGGATGGGAGCAGCAGAAGAGAGGAGAGGGCAGAGGAGGGGAGGAGATCTCATTACACAGCTTGGGCACACCATGATACTACGTCTGACCAAAGCCACGGTGACCTCTGTAGATGTGAGTCCTTGTGGCTCTTACAGTTGGGGGAGCCTCATTTTCCTTCATATCCTTTATTTTGTGGGGGATTATAGAGGTCTAGGCATAATGTAAGCATACAAATGTGTCAGCAAAAGGCAGAGGAGGAGAGGGCTTTGAAGGATCTTGTAAATGAAGACAAGAAGTTTGAACAAATTCAAGCAGTAGGATTTTCTTAATGTAAAGAGCTGGTGAGAGCATGTGAATTGATGGTAGAAGTGGTTATTATGAACTGAATTAATAGGGGATGTGATAGACAGAACAAGAGCTCCAGCTGCATGGGCAGTCATATGTCAGACAGGGGGAGAGGAAGGCATAAAGATCAACACTTTGATTTGCGACCTTCAGGATGAGCTTAAATTTGTGAGCAGCATTTCGGAAAGAGAAATCACAACTTTCACATCAGATCCGTGCTGGTTTTGCATGTATTATTAAAAGAGATGGCTTTATAATCTATTATTAAATCATCATAAATAATTCATTCTGCTGCTGTTTCTTTGCAGGCGACTGCAAGAGTGACATTTTAGGCTGTTACCACAGGGTGTCTCTCACTGGTAGATTTTGGCATCCTATCCGATACGACCACTGTCATTTCTAGGCCAATAATTACTTTCTCCTATTTGGTCAAGATAATTCACTTCAAAGGATTGCTTTGATTAAGGAAATCCATTAATATGATCTCTAGATAATGATGCTTCTTTGCTTGAGTCTTCTCAGTGTTTGGACAGCACATTTTTCTATAATCCATTGAGGAAGATCAGTGTCATTTGAAGTTTACTTTAATGGGCATCCTTCTGTCAAACAGTTAATATTTGCTAGCTTCCAGAATGAATTAATTGAGAAAAGTAAATCTATATGATATTATTGAAGGAAACATCTGTGCCTATCTCTTACACAGACCCATTTAATGTAAATCCATGGAAGTGTTCACCCGAGGAACAGTCTCGTTCTTGTTAACTGTCAAGTTAACAAGACGCTGTCTTGTTCCACAAACTGTCACAATGCTACCCAAAATGCTGATTTCATACTCCACAAACCAGAAAAATGAAAGAAATGTTGTTCAGGAAATTGTGATCTTCTTGATCTTTTTATTAACTTCTTCCAGGAAAGGAAGAAATGTTACAAGAAATCTGTTAAAGGAAATGTATTCCTTTAAGAGATGAAATTGCTGCCTCAGCCCATGAGAACAGCTTTCCACACAAGCTCAATCATAGACATGTATTTTATTCAGAATTAGAATAGCAATGCTCTGAAGAGTAGACAAAAAATAAGCAGAGATTGTTCCGGTAGAGGAACAGTTGGGACACATGTGCAGAAGACAGAGCAAGTTAAAAATATTTGGAGGTAATACTGTCTTTTAAAAATAGTTGCCTAATTTATGGCATGCACAGGTATATGTTTTGGGTGAAATATTTATGCTTTTTTTTCCACCCCAACATGTGCTTTAAGCACTTTTGGGGGAGTATAATCATATTTTTGTTTTGGGTTATTCTGTTTGGGGTTGAATTTGAAACCCCCATATATTTGAACCTCTCTCTGATGGGTGATTGAGGCAAATGATATGCAATACCTGTGAAAAATGCCTTCTTGTGTGCGTTCCACACTGCTTGACTTCACTACAAACTTTAAATCTTGGTTTGGCTTTTTCGGCAGGGTAGACTTCGGATTGTCTGATACCTCTTACTTCCCCTCCTGCAGCGCTGGACTTTTTACCCTGGACTTTGCTTCAATTATTTGTGTTAACGTCACCAACCACAAGCAGTAAATTCCACCTGAGAAATCATTGAGCTGCAACTAATTAATCAACTGGTTAATATAGTGGATGGAGATGGTGAGTGTATGTGTGTGCCAGTGGAACACCACCTGCTGTGCCTGTCATCCACTTACTCACATCCTTCCTCTGATTTAGAAATCTCAGGAGGCAATGGTAAAGATAGCTCGCCTTTGGAATATTTTACATCTGTATCTACCAACAAAATAGCTGCCTATCTCACTTAGATTCTAAGTTATTTAAAGTATCCGTGCTCACCTCTATTAGTAGTTCACTTCCTTTCCATGGAACAATTAAATGTCCAGTAAATTTAACTTGTTATGGGGACTAATGCTATCTCATTTTGTTGTTTCTGATCTTTTCTAAGTTGAAAACAAAAAAGGGGCAAAGGTAAGAAGAGGTCCTGTGTCACATTGTTTGAAAACAAAAAAGGGGCAAAGGTAAGAAGAGGTCCTGTGTCACATTTCACTGATACTTCCATGAGATGCAGTAATATTGTACTACTAGAGTTAAAAACGGTGAGAGATTTTTTTCAACAAATCATTTAAATATGAAGGTCTAGATATTCTGTTAAAAGTAATTATGAAGAATAAAACGTTCATGAACAGCAAACGCTTGAAAAGAGAATCTTTTTTTCTTCTATAGTTTATATTTTTATTTGAGGATAGGTATTATTTCATGTAACTAGCATACACTTTACTTTTCTTAATCATAGCTGGAGTTCCCTTAAAATGTAGTTTAAATCTCAGTGAATCAGAGATTGAGCACAGCCATTTCAGCCCCACACACGGCTGTTTGATGTAGAGTGAAGACAGCAAATACTACCAAGATGAATCTTCAACTCACTGTTCCCACCCGTGTCCTGTTCTTATTTTTGTGCTCCTCCGGATGTTTGAGACACATCATTTTCTCAAATGAGAGCTGTGGTCATTTGGCACACTGAGCTACACTCTGTCCTTTGGGGTCAGCAGAACCCAAGCAGATGCCTTCTTTTCTGTAAGTGCAATAAACCCACTTGAACTTTAATTGACACACTTGTAAAGGCAAACACTAGCTTCACTGCTATGTGAGGGAAATAATTGGTCTCCTTTACTGAAGTCACTTGGAGAGAATCCCAAAGCTTATGAAAGTATGTGCTCCAAGGGTGAAGAACCCCTCACGAATGTACGCATTTGAGAACCCTGGAAAGATCTGTGACAGTGATGGAAAACATGAGCCAAGATGTCTCTGACACGTGACCTATCTGTCCTCCCTTCCCCTTTTTCGACGGCAGCGAGGAGCCGCCACGTGCTTCTGGCACGCTGCCAGCTAATATTGTCCAAATTCCCCATTAAGAGGGAAAAGTATTTACTGTGCATCACTCCTCTGTGGGGGAAAGGGAGGCAGCACTCGCAAAGGGAATGCATGACACCGGGGAAGCTCTCAGGGTCTGGTCCTCCAGCAAACGGCAGCTGGAGCTCTGCCCCGTGGCAGGGCAAGGGCAACTGGGAAACACCAGTGGGCAATCTTTGAGCCTGGCTCACATTTTATGCAATTTCTACCAAACGCCGTGGGATGTGTCGGTGTAAAGAGGTGTTAAGTGATTTGTGCGTGAACTGGGGTTGCCTCAGGGCTTTTAAAGATGGCAAGATTAAAATAGGATGATAGAAATCTAACGGTGTGGATGTAATAGCAAGTTCAACTCAGCCTCAATGAAACCACGGGCTCTTTTGATTGTCTATTTTACTTTAGAAGGAGAACTACAGTAGGAATTAGGACTGGAGAAAATTAGAGATGTTATGTATTGCACTCATTTTATGCCTCCAAGTAACATTTTATTTACTGTAGCAATATTTTCCATTTTATACAATGCTGCATTTTTCCATGGAATGGAAATTTATGGAATTTCCCACCTAAGAAGCATCTTAGGATCTATCTTGTTCAGCCCTAAAGACAGTCTTTCATGCACCTAGGAAGGACAATTAATCTTTTTTTTTGTGCTAAGGAAAGGCTGGCTGCTTCGTAACTGCACTGATGAAATTTCACATGTGGAGTCAGAAATCCTGGGCTCGGGCTGAACTCAGGGGGGCTTTGCTGCTTTCTGCTGCAGGTAGGTCTATGGTGGTGCTGTGTGCTGCTCCACCAACCTCTGCAGAGTTAGCTGAATATTAAGGGTTGTAAAATGACCCTTGAAATATTCTCTCAGATGGCTGCAAGGGCATCGATGACTCAATCCCGTAAGATTTCAGACTTCAGCTCTGGAAGATTATCTGTCAAGAGAAATTGTAACAGCATTTTTATTTCTGAAAAGAGAAATAATATGTGTGTTTTCCATCTCTCTTCTCGTACCTTTCTGCCTGATTTTCCAAGCTGAATTGTTTCTCAGAGACACAACCATGTATGGAGACAGCCTACAATATTCCCTTGCTGGCGTTTCCCAAGCTGCTCAGACAGCCTTGTCATGAAAAAAATGAATGCATTTTCTGAGTAAAAATTCAGGGCCTCTAGAACATAACTGACAGTGAAGTGTTTAAAGCCCCGTAAATTAATTTTGACTTTATTTAGTCTAGAAGGAGTAGAGCCTTGCACGCATTTTGCTAATGTTTACATTAAAAATGAAGGCATGATTTGTTTCCCGTGCCTGGGCCAAATTACGAAGACTTTCTGTTATGCTAAAGCTTCTGCCTGATGTGCAAAAAGAAGAATAGCCATGTGCTACAGGAAGAGATCACAACGTGTCTGACACACAGCCACCAGCAGCCTCGGGATGCTCCTTTTGATAAGAGAGAAGCAGCTGGGAGTCAGTGGGAGAGCCCAGCTCTTACCGATTCATCCTCATGTCCCTTGTCAAGTTTTCCACCCTAGAAATTAGTACGGAAACAAAGGAATTTTCCGGTTCCTTCAGGGAAAGGCTACGTGTCGTGCCAGCGGAAGGGCTGTCATGTCATAGCTGGGTATGCAAAATTAAACCATCTCAGAGGTGCTGAACACTCACAGCTTGTCACCTCTGAAACACATACACGCTGCTTAGATGCTTGGCTCTCATCAGGAGAACCCTGCTGAGATCACAGAGCACATTCACACACGGCTTTAAAAATGCAGTTTTAGAAGGCTGGCAAAATATTTGTGTCTCCCCTAACCCGTGCCTGCTCTTATATAAAAAATTAAGATCTTTACATACAAAAATGTCATTTTTTTCTCACCCTTTGGTTCAGTTTATAAAAGCATAAAGAATTTCAGGTCATTGGATTTGACTGACTTAAAATCAATTTGGATTTTATGTGCATCAGTATACGCCAGGGTGGCCTTTGAGTCACAGGAAGAAGCCATTTTTTTAAATGATGTATTTTTTAGCATGTTTGTACATTTCCTATATTGATGGCAAAAACACAGGAGAAAAGATTTGCGTGGAATTACACAAGCATAAAATAAAGGAGGAAATAATTTTAATGACCTGCAGATGCCTTTTAGTTTTTTAAATTTCTGGAGCAGGAAAGGCATGCTCCTAGGAGCACTGAATGGGAAAGATGACCTACTTTAGTTTAAAACCACAGATGGGCTGAACCTACTTTTTCAAACCTCACTCTAGTAAGAAATACCATTAAAATGTGGTCTTCATGTATCTTTTATACAAAATTGCTGTGCTAGGAAGAGGAGAAAAATCTTTCCACCCAACACTGGGCCAAGTCTCTCCACACAGGCGAGTGGCTGCTTCGTGTAGGCCAATACTTGAGGTGGCAAGGGAAGGCAATGTTGCTTTCCATAATGTAAAGTCTTTGGCATTTTCATATATATTTTTTATAATTATTATTATTTTTAATTTCTGATGGATCAGTTTAGCCTCTGAAGCAGGAGAATTTCTTACCTTACCTCGCACTGGCCTGAACACTCTGGTACTCATGAGAGTACTTGTCCTGGATGGCTTGACTCCTTCCATCTCTTCTCATCTCAGACTCCTGGGACCTTTCCATACGGAAACAACTGCCTACCTGTCTGCTGCTATCAAGTTGTTTGGGTTTTTTTTCAGTCAGGGGCTTATTAGCAGATTTAAGTTTTCTAAAACAATGCCTGAATTAGCGCGATTGCGGCACTGTCTGCAGGGTACCTGAAAAAGGGTTAGTGTGATCTCTGGAGGTTGTATGTTTGGAAATTACAACAGAGTATGTTTTTGAGGCTGTTGTTACTGCATCTTGTTGGGGGTGAGATTCAGAACTTTGCACAGCAAAGGGCATTTCCAGCATTTTTTATCTGAAAATGAATTGGATTTCTACTACTGGTGTAGGGACACGATGCTGCTACGGCAGATTTGCAGCATGGAAAGGCTTGTAGCTTTTCTAACGTAAATTTGTGGGCATTATTGCAACAGAGAGGGAGAGGCAGTCTTCATGAAAAGCTTCAAACAGCCACAGTTTGAACCATCCTGCTGATGCTTCTAACGCTGTGACAGTTTTTTTTCAAATGCATCTGTGAATCAGACTTACTCATTTTAGATCATGTCGCTGAAGATAACACCTAGCACAGTTGGCTTGTGATTCAATAGAACACTCTAAATTAGTGCATTTACCTATACATTTTAGCTATTGTTCTGCCTCAAAGGTACTGTTTGGACCGTCACACTACCTGCTACAAGCATAAAATAGGAAGTGCTTGCTGAATCTTGATAGATGGAACATTCACTTGTAAAATTTGTGAGTTTGTCATCTGAAACAGGTTAAGAAAAAAAATACAAGAAAAATTGTCAGCATTATCTCCATATCCTATGCGACAAAAAATGTTGCCTGTATGCTGTGTATTGTATAATGCATACTGTTTAATGTATGGAGTCATAGAATCATAGAATTGTCTAGGTTGGAAGGGACCTTTATGATCACCGGGTCCAACCATCAACCCAACGCTCCCAAACTACCACTAACCCATGTCCCACAGCACCATGTCTACGTGGCTTTTAATATTGCATACAAAGCACAATACGTCCTGACCCTCCTGAAGATCCGTCTAAATTCTTGAAAATGCTAATTGTAACTTCAGATATTGTCAGTAAGAGAATCTACGAGGGAATACACCAGATACACCAGAGAGAT